GCCATCTTCTTCCAGAATAGCCTGGTTTTATCACAATTAAAGACTTTCTTTGGGTGGTATCCTTTCTCCTCAGTCAACTTCTCCAACTCTGCTGGAACCGTGGTAGCAGCTTCTTCATTGACAGATGCATCCTCTCCTGTAATTTTTATATGTGTCAGTCCAAACTTATTTCTGAGTTGGCGTAACTGTCTTTTGCTTGCAGTAAATGGCTTGGTGGTGCTCATTGCAGGGGATCTCTTGCTGATGTCTTTGTATAGGCTTAATGCTTTCTGGTGCAACATGTTGCTGTCAGAATATATTTTCTGTTCTTATCTTCCACCCACCACTTCATGTTTTTTCCATTTTAACTAAGCCCTTAACCACATACTAGTGGCCATAACTTTGGCAATTTTGGATGCAACAGAGAATGTAGCACTCCTTTCTTTTTCCTTCTTCACCATTTCACAGATGGAAGATTCTTACTGTAGATTTTAGCATGCCTGGGTACACAATTGTTATTTTCACCTTTACACTTAAAGGAAGCACTTTATGGCTTTTCTTTGTTATATGTGAATTGCCACATCACTACTTTTTCACTTTGGTGCCATTATTAAGTAAAATAATGTGAACCTAAGGGCTGTAGATGCCATGATAGTAAAAATGGATAACCAAGATGGGTACCCAGTGACTGAAGAGCAGGGAGCATCTAGATCGTGGATACACTGGGCAAAGGGATGATTCGTGTCCTGGGTGGGACAAAGCCAGACAGCCCGAGATTTCTTTATGCTACTCAGAATGTTGTACAGTGTACAACTTATGAATTGTTCGTTTCTGGAATTTAATATTCAGTGTTTTCAGACTGAGGTTGATCATGGGTAAGTAAAACTGAGGAAAGTGAAATGGTGGATAACTATTTTGACTTCTACCTCTATAAATTGATTTGGGCTGTTGTCAAACTTCATAAAAATGGAGTCATAGTATATATACTCTTTTGTGTTTGATTTTTTTTTTCATTTAAAATTATACTGTAGCTTATACATATCATGGAGTAAAGATTTCATTCAACATTATACTACAGTTTATACATATTGGATAAAGAATTTATACCAATATGTATATCCAATATGTATTTTTACCATATACATACTGGATAAAGAATTTCACTCATTGGACTTTTGATGCATATTGGGCTGTTTCGCCTTTGGGGCTATTATAAATAATAATGCAAAGAACATTCTTGTGTATGTCTTTTACTAGATGTAAGTCTTCATTTCACTTGGGTATGTCCCCAGGCAGGGGATGACTCAATCACTGACTAGTCTTACGTTTTCTTTTAATAGGTACTGTCAAACATTTTTTCCTGCTTCTGGCATCATTCATTTGCAACAGGCTGGATTGTATTTTATGGTTGCTATTTTCTCTTACTTGTCCTTGATTCCTCTGAAAGGAGGTAGTAACTCAATCTATTAAACACTGCTTAGAATCCTTAGCATGGGAGTGTTTTCATTATATCAAGTGTTAATTAGCATAAGGCCAAAAGAGAAAAGAAACTTTGGGCTTCAGTTCCTTAGTTCAGACAATGGTTCCAGTAACCTACCCGGATAGGCTGGAGGGCAGTATAAATAATAGTAATATTGCCAGCATAAGAAAAAGAACTGTCAAAATAAAGCATTCTTAGAATCAGTCTAGAAAAGCCTGTTAGACTGGATTTTCAGATAAGAGTTCTTTTCCCTTTTGGAAAAAGCTGTGTAAATCCATTCATTCATTGCTTCTTTATCATTCATTTGCACAATGATTCTGCAAGCGTTTACTGAGTACTAGGTTCCTCCTCCTGTTCTAGATGGTTAAGCCTCCAGCAGGGAACAAAGCAAAGGCCTTATTCTTAGAGAGCTCACCTTCTCAGGAAGGAAAGAGGCAAGGAAATAGATACAAATGTTGTGTGGTTCTGGTGGAAAATGAAAACAAATCAAGGGGGAGGGGACTGTAGGCTTGGTGTTGGGAACTGCCATTGTTTTTTGTAAGGAAAGGTTAGGGAAAGCCTTCCAGTCAGTAACATGTGTGCAAGGACCTGAAGAAACTGAATAGTTGGGATATCCACGGAAGAGCAATCCAAGTGGAGGGAGGGGCATGCTTGGTGGGCTCAAGGAAAACCTCTGCATTTGGAGGAGAGATAGTTGAGCAGAAGAGTATCTAGACCCGTAATTTTCAACTGATGTGCTGTGAGAGGATCTTGGATGAGCTGTGAAAATTTTTAAAGATCATTAATGATATTATTTCCAAAGAAGTTCAAAGCACAGTAAGTATATCCTTTTTTTCACTCTTGTTTGATCCACATAATTTAAGTGTGCTGTGGAAGTTTAACTATAGGTTCAAGTGTGCTGTGAGATAAAAAGTGTTTTGAAGAACGCTCCTAACTCCTTAGTTAGGTCAGAAGGATGGCAGGGACTCAGATCCAATAGGCTCTGTAGGTCACTGTAATGACCTCAGCTTTTTCTCTGAAGGATTTTGAACATAGAAGTGATTCCGTTTTTCTAAGGATTATCTTAAATATTGGTTAGATAACTGATTTGTATGGACAAGGGTAGAAACAAGGAAACCAGCTAAAGTCTCTAATAGGTGTGTTTTATTTTATGGACTCATCACCATCACTGTGCTGTATTAGTAAGGGAAATAATTGTGTTTATCCAGATGTGGAAGAACAGTAGCACATTTGAGCTACATTATTAGTAACTTAAGAATGTGCAAATTAACAATATAAATAAGTTATTTATTTTTTATTTTATTTATTTGCAGGTTTTTTTTTTTTTTGGCTGGGGCTGGATTTGAACCTGCCACCTCATACTTCTTTGAGCCACAGGCGCCACCCATAAGTTATTTATTAATGCTCTTTTCCATTTACCTAACATTAATTTTTTTCAGGACACTCTTCCTCTTCTCTCACATTTTTATTTAATAACTTGTGCGATTCTTTCAGCCACTCACACTTGAACAGTAGTTATCTGTGACTCCTCTTCATCCTCTGCACATCCAGGCAGTCAGGTGGTGGTGTTGCTGCTGTCTCCCAAATCCACCTCCTACTTCCTCCATTCCCAACTTTGGTCTCAGACCCCTCCTTTTGAATCGCAGAAGTAGCCATCAAATTCTCCTTCTCTAACCCATCTGCGATTCAGCAAATAGAATACAGACTTTTGGAGACCTTAATTTGATTGCTTCGGATCTTTGTTCTTCCATGTACCAGCTATAGGGCCTTTTGCAATTTTTGACTTCAGTTGTCTATCTATAAAATCAACCATAACAATATCTAATTTGTAAGATTCCAGTGAGGATTACATGACACAATGGAATGTTTAAAGTGCCTTGCAGCAAGTTGGCACTTAGAAAATGCTTGTCCTTTCCACCTGCTTTTATTCAATTACTACTTTGGTACTCTTAATTTCTACACATCAAAATGTGCTCCTTCGTTATCTCCGTAAATTCCATACTGCATACTTCCATCTATGCAGTTTAAATAAAAAAAACTATGAGTCTTCTTTGAATAATCTATTTCTCTTACCATCTAAATTTAATACAGCTGCAAATCCTCTTGATTCCACTTCCAAAACATATCCTGAATTCATCTGCTTCTCCTCACTGCCAATGCTGTAACCTAGTCCAAGAATCTCTTGTCTGTACTGTTTCCATAGGTTCCTAATCCACGCTTCTGCCTTCACTGTTTCCACCCTTTTTCCACAGAGCCAAAGTGATATTTAAAACATAAATCAGATAACTTCAGTCCCTTGCTTAGAACTCCCCAGTGGCTTTTCATCATACTCAGAATGAGATTCAAAGTTTACCCTCTCCCCCTTATACTTCATCTGCACTGCCCATCTTTCTTTTCCTACTAACTCATCAAACTCATAGCTGCCTTGGGCCTTAGCGCTTGCTATTTCTCTGTCCTTGGAATATTAATTCCTCAGATTTCCACATTACTTTCTGCTGCTTGTCATTTAGATCTCAGCTCTATCTAATGGCCTCCTGCCTTCTGTCACTAGTGCTCCATCACACCGTGCTATTTTATTTTTTCCTAAGGCTTGCCACTGAAAATAGCCTACTTATATATCCCTTTTCCCCCAGTAAAAATTAAATGCCCTCATGTAAGGTCCATTTTGTACCTTACAGGTAGGTAGGGAGAAAAAAACCCAACCTCGAATGATAGAAAAATATACCTGCTTTTAATGAGATATCAAAGTTTGATGTTGGTTACGTAAGCGAAGGATAGGGTTTTATTTTAAAATTCAGAATCTGTTGGTTTTCCTTTAATCCCTCATACCTCACACGTATGCTTGTGCTGAAAATAGGACTGTAAATAAAACAATAGTAATACAATCCTAGGGTTTGGATTTTTTTCTCTAGCCTTCTAGGTAGTTCTAAGTTTACTCTTCTCTCCATCTCCTCCTCTACACTACCTTAGAGCAAAATACCATCCTCTCTGGCCCTATTCCTCTAAGTTTTGATCTCAGTGCCTTGTTCTCCAGAATGCAGCCAGTGAGCTTTTCAGTTGCTGTTAGACCTATGCTTGAAAACCTCTGTAGTTTCCATTGTTCTCAAGGTAAAAACTAGAATCCTCTCTTATCACGCCAGCCCTGCCTCTCGACTCAGGGCCACATTTGCTCCTCCCCTCCTGGTTCCCGCTGCCACCCCGCTGGGTAGCCTCAGCTTCCCGCTCCCACCGATGTTCTACACCGCACCCGTTTTGTCTACTTCCTCGGATTTCGGATTGTCCCTTCCTCTGGGAAGCCCTCCCTGATTAGGCCAATCTTATTCCCCGTCATGAAGCCCACCAGGGCCTCTCTCTCAGGGCTTGTATTTGTTTTATAATTATATATTCCTGAATACGATAACCTTAGTTAATTGTGCTAACGTGCGCTGGGGCTACAAAGGTGTTTGCAGTATTGACTAGCCGCCCCGCCACTCCTAGCCCCTCCCCCGAGGGCTTCGGCGCAGCTATTACGCATTAAGCGGGCGCCGCGAGCGCAGACTTAGCAGGCGCCTGCGCGAAGGGACGTCGCATGCGCAGAGAGGTGAGCTGGCTGACAGATTCTTGGTGGTGGTGGTGGCGGCGGCGGCCCTGGGCTGCGGGGAATGGGAGTCCTAGGGCTCTGACTGAGCACCGCCCCCGCCTCCCTGTCCGCGACATGGCTCAGGAGAAGATGGAGCTGGATCTGGAGCTGCCTCCGGGTACGGGCGGGAGCCCGGCGGAGGGCGGCGGCACTGCCGGCGGCGGGGGCCTCAGGAGGTCTAACAGCGCCCCCCTGATCCACGGCCTCAGTGACACTTCGCCGGTGTTCCAGGCCGAGGCGCCGAGCGCCAGGAGGAACAGCACAACGTTCCCCAGCCGCCACGGCCTGCTGCTACCGGCCTCCCCTGTCCGCATGCACAGCAGCCGCCTGCACCAGATCAAGCAGGAGGAGGGAATGGACTTGATCAACCGAGAGACGGTCCATGAGCGGGAGGTGCAGACCGCAATGCAGATAAGCCACTCCTGGGAGGAAAGTTTCAGCCTGAGTGACAACGATGTGGAGAAATCCGCCTCCCCGAAGCGCATCGATTTCATTCCTGTGTCACCAGCACCGTCACCCACTCGGGGAATCGGGAAGCAGTGCTTTTCACCATCCTTGCAAAGTTTTGTGAGTAGCAATGGATTGCCTCCAAGCCCTATTCCCAGCCCAACGACCCGATTTACTACTCGGAGAAGCCAGAGTCCCATCAATTGCATTAGACCAAGTGTTCTTGGACCATTGAAAAGAAAATGTGAAATGGAAACTGAGTATCAGCCAAAGAGATTTTTCCAAGGCATCACCAACATGCTGTCTTCTGACGTTGCACAGCTGTCAGATCCCGGTGTGTGTGTATCTTCAGACACCCTTGATGGAAACAGCAGCAGTGCCGGATCTTCTTGTAACTCACCAGCGAAAGTCAGCACTACCACCGACTCTCCTGTGTCACCTGCCCAAGCGGCCTCTCCATTTATCCCACTTGATGAACTATCATCTAAGTGATTCACGCATCCTGAGACTGTTTTGTGTTGTGTTTTTTCTTCTTTTTTTTTTTTTGCAATGGAGAGAGAGAGTAATCAAGTTGGAGCAAGCACTGAACTTTGTCAATTAATTTGAGGCTATTTCTTATTTGACCCTTTTTCCTTTTTTCTTTTTTCTTTTTTTTTTTTGGAATTTCCTGAAATGTTGTTATTCTAGAGAACTTTTATGTCAGGTTCCTGCGAATACCCTTGAATACAGTGTAGTAATATTTTCAGACGTTTTCACAATAAGTGTGTTGAAGCATACATCTTTACGCTGCTAATATGTCTAAATACATATGTTATCCCTCGATTTTTTTAAATAATTGAGAGCTCTATTTATTTATGGGATTATTAAGTTCTGATGAAAATATAAATGTAGAATTAATCAGCATAGTAAACTGGTGTTTTAAAAGTCCATACTTTATGCCCACACTAATTTTTAATGTTATTTTCCAGTGATTGCTAATTTCCATTTGATGAAGAATAATAATTTACCTATTTACAGCTTTTTAAAAACAATGTTAGTTGTAACATATCAATCTAGTGGTTGTCTATTTACCCAGGAATCCTTGAATATTTAATTTTCTGGGTTTGTAAGTGGATGATAAAAGAACAAATTATAAAAGTTTGCAACAAATCTTTTAAGTATATAAAAGTAAACATATTTAAGAAAAACATTTTTAATGAAATTTTAATAGTAATTCTAGTAAGTCATACAAATATAACTACTATACAGAAAATGAAAATTTTCTTTTTTTCTTTTTTTGACCAGAAAGTGCATTCTCTTGGGTATAATCCTAAAGCAAAATGGGATGGTGCCTTGCAGTCTTAGCCCACTGTACATAGGCTCAGGCTAGGCTCTTTGTACCATTGCAAACCTAAAACTTATTTAGATGTAGAAAATGTGTGGGAAGCCTTATTGAACTTCAACAGAGCGCCCAGGCAGACAATACTCTCAATCATTGGTATACTTTAAAATATTCAGTTGTGCCTCAGTTCTGAAAATTCTTGCCAACCAGGAGCCAGAGCAATTTTTGGCTACTTTTCTGCTCTGCCCATCTGTCACCTTCTTGGTTTTCCCTTGCTCAGGAAGTAGCTGTTTCCTTGCCAACAGGTCCTTCCTCTCCATCTCCCACCAAACTAGGGCACCATCTTTTAGACAAAGGTACAGTGTGACTCGGATTTCTAAAAGTGAGCATCAATAGGATTGTGAATTGTTTAACCTCTGTGGGTGAAAGCTACAAGTTGAGTTGACTGCCTTGGTGATACTGGTTAATTAAGGGTCGATGATTTGCAAGAGAAAATCAATGGAGAGTCACATAGGTAAATCATTATTTAACTTAGATTTTGTTAAAGGTAGAATTGTGGAATGTTCTTTTCTTTGCCTTTTACAGTTAAGACAAAATATTTAATAAGAATAGCAAATGTTTTTTATATTATACTTCTTTATACCTCATATATCTTCCTTAACTAGATAGATGGATAAATAGATGCCTAGATAAATACATAGACAAAAAGGGGAGGGGAAAGAAAATAAAAAACTCAAAAGACCAAGATAAAAGCTCTGACCTACTTTTTAAAGTTACTGTTTATAGAGACTTTTAACAATTATGTGAACTTTTTACAACTATGAGAATAAATGGAACTGGTCAACTCTTGACAGTTGCCTCAAGATTCAGTGAAATAACATTGAGGGTAAGAACGTATCCACAGGTTTAAAATTCTTTATTCTGGGTAAGAGTATTCCTGTGCTTCAGTTCCAACCTTGTTCCTCAGATTTAAACCTGTATATTCAACTTCTTGTTGGGTACTTTGACCTGCTTCCAGAGGTACTTTAACTTCAGCTTCTTCAAAACAAAATGTATTATCTTCTCAAAAAAAAAAAAAAAAAACATATTCTAACTTAACCTGTTCTTGCATTAACTAGATTGATGTCATCACTATCTAATTTCCTAAGCTAGAAACCACAGAAACATCTTTGACCTTGCCTTTTCCCTATCATATCCCACTTAATCACCAATCCTTATCAACTGTTATTCTGAAGTAAACCTCAAACTTCTGTCTTCTCTATCACCCCTGATTTAGTTTAAGAGCTCTCATTCTTACTTTTTGGTCCAATCTTCACACTGCCTCTATAGTGATCTTTCTAAAATATAAACTTGATTTTTATATGCTTCTCTATTTCCTACTGTCTGGGGAATGGTTTCCTCAGCCTAATATTTATACAATGTTCTTCATGATATGGCCATATTCTAAAATAGCTTTAATCCTTTCCTTATCTCCATTCTGATACACATCTTTCCTTCTTACTCTGCAAACACTACTTGATACTCTTTGAACATGCCATGTACTTTCACATGTCCATGCTTTGGATAGGTTGTTCCCTCTCCCTAAAATGCCATTCCTACCCTTTTTGTCCAGGCAAATCCTGTTTTCTTTTTATTGCATGTGAATTTAACCATGAAAGCAATGCTGAAGATAAAGTATTTAAACCACGTAGATATTTATATAGTAAAAAAAGGACGAAAATCTGCCTCTTTCTAAAATTCATCTTTCCTTCCCATAGGTAACTTCTGCTAACAGTCTGGCATATGTTGTACGAGATGTGTTACTCCATGTTAACATGTATGGACGTATAAAATGCAGGAAACCAACATGTCATTGATACCTCTTTTCCTTTCTTTTCCCTTTAATCATTCCTCAAACTTTACTGATTTTAACTTTTAGAATCTGTCTCCTAATTTCCATCTTTCCAGCCACCTGATCCAGGCTACCATTTTCCTCTGAGGCTTCTGAAGTAGCCTCTCAATTCCCATCTGTGCCTTTCACACTCGCTCTGGTCAGCTACCCTATTTGTTCTCCAGACAACACCTAGAGTCATCCTTTTAAAATTGCAGCTTAAAGATTTTCCATTTACTTCCTATTCTGTTCTTGTGAGTACACTAAAATATATGAATTCTGGCCTAGGAGCCCGTGAGGGAATTGCCCCTTAATTCTTGTTTTCTGTGCTTTACCCTCACTAGCTTGTTTTCTTCTCCTTAACTATATCAGGTTTTCTCCTTTCTAAGATCCTTTTACCAGATATTTTTTCCCTGAAGGTATGGAAACCTTTATTTCTGTAAAGTTATTCTGTATAGATGATAAGTTTTAAATCAGGTAAGGCTCTAAGAGTTTATGTGGACAATTTACATTGTTGTATTGGTCAGAACTTGAGTCATTACGCTGTAGAATGTAAGAACTTAGCTTATGTAAGAACTATCCTTCAAAAAACATCTTTGAGGTTTTGGTATTGCTAATTTATAAACTGCAAGAAGTCCTAAAGCAAATATTCACATTTATTTAAAGTTCAGTTTGTCATGTGTAATAAACCTCTGTGGTATATGTTCCTTTATTATAATTTGTTACAAACACAGTATAAATGAAAGAATTAAGTCACTAAATCTAAGGCTGATAGATGGCAAAACCTTTAAATACACTTAACAAAGATTGATTATAATCAAGAATAACCTGTATCAGATTCCCAGTGATTCACATTTATTAGTTCAGCTGGTTACATACCTACAGAGACCACTTCATTTTGCAGTAAAATGGGGAAAGAGTCAAGACTTACAAGGAAAACAGGTCTGAGAACTTTTGTCTTCTGGGTATGTTTATATATTAGAAAAAGTTTGAAGTTCCAGGAGAGGTGGGAGATGGGAATGATTGTCAGATAATGAACTAAGAAGATGATGTACATTTCCTGGGTAGCATCAGAGAACAGAAGAAACAGCTGACCTCAGAAAGGAGCTCTGGAAACACTTTTTCCTTCCAAAACAGGTGAAAAGGCTACCAAAGACATCAGTAATGTTGAACTGATTTGATATTGCAGGGTTTCGGGGCTATGGAGGAAGTTACGTGGAAAGCAGGAAGAATTTGTATCTGATTGCGTCTATTTTCCGATTATTGAGGAATCTAGAATATTTGAGAGTAGGCATGGAAGTGGATTTGGAAGTCTGAGTGAAATAAAGGTTTATTATTGCCTCTGTGAGCCGGGGTGACTTAAGGGCAACTAGAAGATATATTAGGTCACACTGGATGCCAGGTCACAGTTTGGTGAGCGGGACAAAAGAAGTGGGTTGGATTGGCTGGATTTGGTTAAGTGGGGATTGGTTAAGTGGGTACTAGATAAAGTTTAGTTAAGGGTTCTGCTGAAAGTGTAGATGGGCAGAAGCATTGAGAATGGTAAGAGAAGTCGAGGGTGTTGGGCTAGGCAACTTTTTTCCAGGTTTTACCTTATAATCAGCTGTGACAAAGTATACAGAATCTGGTCTCGCTGTTGAACTCTCACTCTGCTGGTTTTGTCCATATTTTTTTATGGCTTATTTTGTTTAGAGAATCAGCCCTAAAAGCAAGTCTTCAGTTCCACTTACTTGATTAAAAATTTATGTCAGATTGCTCACTGTAGCCAAGATGGAGTTCTTTGTACCTTCCCTAACTTGTCATTCAAGTAAAAAATTTCCTTGAAAGTTGAAATGATACTTATTTAAAAAGTAATTAAATGCTTGCCGTGTGTCAGGCCCTGTTCTAAGTGCTAAACAAATATATCAGTGCATTTAATCCATCATCCAAGGTAAGTGCTGTCATTACTCTAATTTTATAAATGAGGAAATGGAGACACAGAGGTTAAGTAACTTGCCCAGGATGTTAGAGCTGGGAGGTTGGCAGCATACTGTACAGGTTAAGAACACAGACTGTGGAGCCAAGTGGCCGTGGTGAGGACTGAATATGTCAGTGTATGTAAGGTGATTACAACAATGTTGAGCAATTTCTGTCGCCATGTCAATTGTCATTGTGGTGGTGGTGGTAATTGTTGTCTAGTTTCAACTTGCTCAGGAACCTCTTCTTTATCATCCTTACTGATGAAACTCCCACTTTCACACAGTATGCCATCCACCCACCGAGAAAGCCTATTCTTTGATAAGGTCAGTGGTTTTGATGTAAGAGACTTTTTAGACCGAACATTTTTCTCGTTAACTTCCACCATTTAATTCAAGTCCAGCTTTCTGGAAAATGTGAAGTAAGGCTTC